AACACATCTACTAAAGGTGACACAAATATACAGTATGTCAGGTAATTAATTAACATTAACTACTAAATTATATGTAACGTTGTGCAATCTCTGTAAGTTATAGAAGATAAGAGCTAAGATCTGTTAGTGTGTCATTGTGTGTTGACATACAGAACTCGAGATTATCCGCTCAGTGAAAATATTCCACGTTTTAAAACCCTGATAAGGTTTTACTTAAGGTAATGAATTCAAAGTCAAAGTCAAAGTCAAAGTCAAAGTCAAAGTCAAAATCATTTATTTCAATTAGACTAGGATGGCACTTTTGAACGTCAAACAACAAAAAATTATAAGTGAAGCTAGTTGCTCATTCCAAGGCGTAGATTCCTATGGAAGAGAACGAGCGAGAAACTCCATAGGTTACTCTTTTTCAATCAGGTTTACAATACAATTCTCTAGTTACATAGTTTTATTGGTTCGATTATGTGAGAACAATGCAACACCCAAATCCAGTCCGAAAGACTGAAAAAGAAAATAACCTTGAGAATTCATTTAAATCTTCAGGTTTCTCTGCTATTGAAAATATGATGGATCTATCTATATATTATATTTATAGATTATGGTTATGCATAGGTAATTTTGAATTTCTGACTAAAGTTCGTGACAATATGTGTTGTATTGGCACAGATATTGTGTGCAGTTTAGAGTAACATATTTCAATAATGTATTTACATAGTTTGGGTGTACAGATTTATTGTACTAAATGATTAAGATTTTGACTGCCAATAAAAACTGTTAAGGAAGGTAAATCCTTCGCTAACGTCGGTCACCGGTGACCCCTATGGCGTTAAACGTGTTAATTAATCCTATTAAAGGTCCAAAAATTAGGTCCTAGTATTGAACTCACATTTCGCAGTTGCATCGACAACTAACAAAATATACGCACACAAACAAACATAAACATAATATTTCAGTAAAACTTAGGTCCATAAATCGCGCTGGACTATAATGGGAAAGAGGTCATCACACACACACTTACGTTCTGGGTCGCCCGGGGTCATTCCTATTCTGTAAAAAGTCATCTCATGAATTCTAGAAAATGACTTAGCCACCGTCCAGGCCACCGTTTATTAAACCGCAGTAAATCTGTCTCTGAATGTTATACAAGTACCTTTATTTACGAATAAGGTAAAAAACTGCACTAGACATAATACGTAATATTTGATCAACTCTTGAGTAATTTTGCCAATAATGTCCAATTAGCAAAACATACTTAAGACTAGTCAAATACCACTTATTAGTATCACGTATTCTTATTAAACAGCATTCCCCTTAATACATAATGTAAAACCATAATACTGAACAATTTTAAAGCGGTTATGAATTACCCAGTGTTTCAGTGGGTAAATATACAAGATAACATCGTTCTTTGTTTCCAACGCCCCCTGGTGACATCTCATTATCTTTGATATATGATTGATAATCACGCAGAAATATATTTTCCTGCACTTGTATCAAACCGACCAATGAATGTAAGGCTCATACTTACTGTTTGTATTACGTCACACAATGGATTCTTGAATCTGACTAAGCAAATATACATTAGACTTACGTTTGAAAGTTTAAAAAATATATTTTTGTTGGTTCTAGATTATTAGTACTGCATGGAATTTTTTCATGTTGCACACGTTTAAAATATTTTCATACAACGTTTAATGATTTTTATTAATAGATAAACAGAAACCAATCATCATCAATATCATCAAAATAAATTTGACAGTCTTTTGAACTAGCGTAGCGTCTACTATGCCGTAGCGAGAGAATATTTTCGAGTCATTGATGAGTCTTTTAGGGAGAGTAGCAGTCTCGTTCAGTAAACTCAGAACTAGGCACGGCTACCTGTCTTTTGTAGTTAGAGCGTATTTTTGAGTCCTTGCCTCGTTTTTTTACTTAATGGTTTTTATGACTCGTCTTCTGGTGGCGTAGCAGTGTCATCCACGGTGCATCTACAGAGTATTGTTAAGTCGTAGACTATCTTCTGGTTGACGTATCAGTATTGTTTACGGCGTAGCCACAGTGTATTCTAAATTCACAGACTCGTCTTCTGGTAGCGTAGCAGCGTCGTAGTCACAAAGCATTCTCAATTCGTAGATTTATGTTCCAGCTGACATAGTAGTGTCGTCTTCGGTGTAGCCACAGAGTATTCTTGTTAAGTAGACTAGTCTTCTGTATGTAGAAGTGTTGTCCATATCGTAGCCATAAAGTATTTTTGACTCAAAGATTCGTCTTTTAGTGTCGTAGTAGCGTTGTAGCGTTATCTTCTAGGTGACGTAGCGGTGTCGTCTACGGCGTAGCCACAGAGAATACTCAAGGCGTAGTACAGTGAAACTTGGTTAAGTGGGACCTGGATAAGTGAGAAACCTCCATAACTGGAACTCATGCTGAGGTCCCAACACTTTGGCACTGAATAACTTCTGTTAGTGGGACGAGGTAAACCTCTATATCTGGGATTTGTTCTTTCGATTTACCATCATAGTTACCTCTATAACTGAGACAGCGAGTAAATTTTATATACATAAACCTCTGTTACTGAAATAACATTGTTTGTTTACTCATTCTTATTCTACCCACAAATTCCACACGTAATTCCAAGTCCACCTCTATTAATGGAACCCTCTGTAAATGAGACAGATATTTATTTATACCTGTATATCTGAGACACTGGGTAAGTGGAATACGCCTATAAGTGAAACGACATTGCAGGTCCCTTGATGTCTCACTTAACCAGGTTTCACTGTATCATCTTCTAGTTGACGTAGCAGCATCGTCTGCCGCGTAGCCATAGAGTATTATCAAGTCGTAACTTCGGCTACTGGCTGGCGTAGCAGTGTCGTGTTCGTCGTCGTAGCCACAGAGTATTTTCAAGTTGTAGTCTCGTCTTCTGGTTGACGTAGCAGTATCGACTACGCCGTAGTAACTAAATGTTCTGATATTGAAGACTCGTCTTCTGGCTGACGTAGCCGCATGGTCTACGTCGTAGTCATGATTATTCTTCATTTAAGGATTCGTCTCTTGGCCACAGTAACAGTCTCGTCTAAATTAAAATTGTCCCGTATTTTTTGATTCGTGGATTTATTTATTTTGTTTATCCTTCATTAAAATAGTTTTATTGTCTACATTTTTTATAGTATTTTTATTAAATTGGTAATATTTTCTGAACAAGAATTTTTAAATGTGATTGTTTTGCAAGTAAAGAGCTAGATATAATCTGTTCTACATTAATTTTGAATGTTGTCTTAAGTACTTCTGCAGTATAAACGGTCATATCGATGTCGTTATTACATCTCATAACCGCCAAAACCAAATAGTACTACTTAATTGTTTTATACGGTCCTTAATATTTGTAGTAATTTGTGCATCATTATATGTAGATTGCCTGTGGTTTAATAAGTAATTTTAGTACTGTGTTGGTGTTTCTACTCTCTGTTACTAATCAGAGAAAACAGTGATTGGCTTTTTGTTGCATACCACATTCTATTTAATCAAATTGTATAGCTGTCGGTTTTCAAAGTGTATAAATTAAAAAAAAATATATCAACTTTAACTACAGAAACCTTATAACAAATACCGTTTCTTAAGACGTCTGAAACTATACATTCATGTAAAGTTCCTACTCTACTAAAATACAAAGTAACAACTTAAAAACAATAACTACTTATAACTTAAGTTTTTATTAAACAAACACTCAATACTGAATGGCACAGAAGTACAGACGACCCTACATTATGTATTATATTGATTTCGATACCAATATAAAGAATAATCATTGAAAAACATCCTGAACAAAGAACTTTACTAAACAAAGTTATCTTTACAGCTACGGAAATAATGTTCAGCCCTTATTGTTTAAGATATAAGGGTTGTATTGGCGCGCGTTGATGTTTTTGTAAGGTTAATGTTATGTTGGTGTAGGAGATGGAACCTATTGGAGTGGGTTTCGGGAGTTTCGCTAAGTTGTCGATTGTTGAGATCGGTATTGTTTCGACACTTCAGCCCCTTTGTATTGTAATCATGGTGTAATGTGCAGATAAGTAGTACATGGCGGGTAGGTAATTATTGTGGTCACATGAAAACATTGCCAATATTAAACATTTTTCTATAAGTGTTAAGTTCTATGTATAAGTGGAATGTATTCTATGTATGTAAAAGTATGGTATGGTAGTCATGGTCTAGGTATAATGTAACCTAATTTTTTTTTGTAAAATATTTAACTATTATATTATGTTTTATTCGTGGTACTTTACTATTTCTTAATACCTAAGGTAAATTGTGTATCATAATGTTAATTTGTTTTTCATTAAAATAAAAAATAATGGTCATTAAAATGTCAGTGAATACCTAAAATAAGTCAACTTTATTTCTTTATAGCAGTATTGTTTCAATTTGAAGTTATATTGAAGTGTAAAGTAATTAATTATTAACCTAAATGTTCCACCAAGTACCAAATGTTCAACCGAATTTTTATTTGTGCTTATAAAATAAATAAGTAGCTAACCAAGCGTCATTACATCGATTCCTACTTCTAATGAACAGTATATATAAATCTCAGCTGTTTCCTCGTTATAATCAAAGTTTGTAATGAAACAAGATTGTAGTATTTACAGTTTGTATTTATTAGACGTTGAGTTCGTGTGGTGGGTCATATTGATTGCCGGCGACATTGTCATCATCCACCCCCGAGCCGAGCAGACGCGCGGCGCCCGACACACACAACACCCAAAAGAAACAGGAACGTTTCTTCGCGCGTTTGTAACGCAACGCAACGAAAAAAGAGGCGGAGACTTTGCGGCAGCGTCGTACACCAATCACAGCCGAGTTGCAGCCGCCGCGGACCAATGGAGGGAGGCGGTCGGGGCGGGCGCGCGCACGCGGCCGCGCCCTCGTTTCGCTCCGGCTTTTTATTTATTGTTGCGCGGAAGAGCGCGCGCGACGGGTGTGTGATGCGTGTGTAGTCTGTCGCGAGCATGGAGTCCGCCGTGGACTCAGCGTCGACCGCGAGCGAAGTGAGCGGCTCCTCCGGGGGCTCGCCCCGGGTGAAGGCAGCGTCGCCGGCGCGCGCGCTCAGCCCGCCGCAGCTGCTGGCGCCGAGACTGCCGCTGCCGCCGCCAGGCCTCGGCCTGCTGGGTTCTCTGCAGATGATGCACCACTCGCCGCTCGAGCTCATGGCGGCCGCCCACCACCATGGGCCCCCACGTTACGGCAGCCCGCCACCCATCTCCACTTCTGACCCCTCAGCCAACGAGTGCAAGCTGGTGGACTACCGCGGACAGAAGGTGGCCGCCTTCATCATCCAGGGAGACACCATGCTGTGCCTGCCTCAGGCTTTCGAACTGTTTCTGAAGCACCTAGTGGGCGGGTTGCACACAGTGTACACGAAGCTAAAAAGACTGGACATAGTGCCGCTGGTGTGCAATGTGGAACAGGTGCGCATCCTGCGGGGGCTGGGCGCCATCCAGCCGGGCGTGAACCGCTGCAAGCTGCTGTCGTGCAAGGACTTCGACGTGCTGTACCGGGACTGCACCACGGCAAGGTACGTTCACACACCTCCACCCAGTCTCTGTGCCCCCTGTTGTCACATGTGTCCGCCCGCCTCTGACTGGCCACTGCCAGCTCCACTGCCCGCTAGGAAGGTAGGTATAGCCTCCGTGTCTTCTACTTTGTTTTAGTTTAGCCTCGTTATTTTTTATTTATTTTTTAGGTTACATTTATGTTGTTTTTGTATTTATATACCCTGAAGTAGGTATAGTCCATCTGTTTAGGTAATTAACTAAAGGTAAACAAAGAAAACCACGTGACACAGAGATACTTAACCTACTATTACTTCAAATATTTCTCGTGTTTTAATTTTAACTAAATTCACTTTAAAATCGTTCATTTGTCATACACACACATACAAGTACAAATGCCTAAATCGTACAAGAGCCTAGCCTATGGGTCTATTTCATTATCATGTTTAAATAGAAACTATTCTGAATCTGATGTACGGATTTCTTTCTTGTACGGATATCTGTCTTTGGGCCAAGTTTCTTCAATATATTTGAACACATTAATTACAAACGATGTATACCTAAACTTAAATAACTTAATAACAAAAACAAAACAAAGAAACAAGATAAATTCAACAAAATAGGAACGCGAGCGCAAACGACGAGAGAGCTGTCAATGGCGCCTGATTAACCGACTAAACGTAATGCACGCTACTTTCATTGTCGCGCTACATCTTAGTTGTACTCTTTAATTTGACAACATTATTTTGCTTCGTTCTTAAAGAAGGGTTTTGGATACCTGGGATTTTAGGCTCTTTATGGTGTCTATTGTAATGAAATATTATATTATTTAATAAATGTTATTAAATTAATATCCTCAAGCAGATATATATAATATTTACTAAGAAATAAGTGAAAAGGAACAGAAACACAACATTTAATTGAGAAAACTGTCGTAAAAAGGGAAACAATTTTATTTTCTTATGAAGTATTTTGAATCATGGAAATGTCAACTATAAAGAATTCTTTTTATGGTTTGTTTACAAATAGTTAACTACCTAAACAGACGGAGTATAGGTATACTTACTTTTTCTCAAAATGAATTTGAGCGGGATAATGTTTACGGTTGTAAAGTTATAGTTACAAATTAATGACTGGATTGTCTCTTCTCTGACTAATTAGTATCTTGTACCTCTTGAGGTGTTTTTAATAAATCTACACCGTAAGAGAACATGGCTGAATATGTTTTCCTGAATTAGGCCTAATAAATAATGTACTAAGTTGGTGAGTTCTGAAATGATGATGAATGTGGTGAGTCGGTGTGAGTGGGTATTAAAATATTTGTTAATTAGGCGCTGGATGAGGCAGGAAGTGTCACCAAGGTCGTCGGGGTGAAATATAAATGGTGTAGCGGTTGTTTGCCTGCATGTACAGCCCCGCGGGGAGAGACGCGCGATCCATTAATTTTTCACATTTTAATACGCGCAAAATATTTCCACCGGGTTAAATATTAAAGTGAGCTTCGGTCGGCGACGGAAGGGTTAAATCTCAGTTAATTAGTGGCTGTGGCTTAAATATTTAAATAGTAATTTTTACAAACGGTAAAGTTAGATTAAAAAATCTTGTTTTGTTGTGGTCGCGCGCCGGCCCGGTAGGCCTATCGGTGTTTTCCCAGAATGTGTTTTTAAAAATGTAATGTTGTCGGGAATTGTGCATTTGGGAGGTGTAAAGTTAATTTTTTTTGTTGTTATTATAACTTTGTGTAATATTTTAATGTTTGTTTATTTATTGAGCAGCGGAAACGCTTGGACATGTGACGCGGACGCGCGTTAAGCGGCTTTCTGACTCACATTTTTGTTTGGTTTTATGAAATCATTATACTTACTCCTAAATTCATGTGACTCACGATGCGTCGAGTTCTCTAATTTAATTGGGACTAAATCCGGGTATCAAAATTATCTAACTGGGTCTTTTATATTTATGTTTTTGGAATAGTACATAGTTATATTATGGTTATGTATAATATTTAATATTCGTATTCATTGCATAGCTAACTTAACAGTTACTTAATTTTTAATCAACTTCTTAACATTAGGTAATCAATTTTTTTTTTCTCAAATAACAAATTTGGAACATGAAATACGTCAATGCTACAAATGTAATAAAAAACCAAATTAGATATCACTCAGAATTGACATAATTGTGAAAGCGTTAATTTAAAGCAAGTCATTTGTTACAAAAATAAATTAAAGCGAGAAATATTTGAAATACGAATCAAAGTCAGAGTTAAAATAAATAAAAAAACATGGCCGTTCGCCGGCGGTCGTTGATTCGGACGAAATTCGTATTGACATGTTTCCAGTATTACGATTCCACTAATACAGTCGACAAAGAAATCTTGTTTCTAACATAAATAACAATTCGCTTTTTATACCTGACCTCTTTTTATGAAATAAAAACCAGTATTACGTTTTGCTATTTTATTTTTAAGTGCAGAGTAAAAATAACAGATAGTAAAGCATAAAGTTGAACTAAAATAAAATAGTTATGATATACTTACTAGAGTTTTTGTTACCGTTACCATTTTAATTGATTTGAGAAAATATCTCATTACAAGAATGCTTAGTCTGAAATAGGATTGTAAATTACAATTACAATTACAACAAGAAATGAAATAAGAATCTTTCAATAGATACCTACTTAAGAGACAAATATAAAATAAGTAACTTTTATTATCAATAAATAATAAATAAACAAATTATCACAGTTATAAATTAAGCACTAATGGATGTCACTACCTACTTGCATTTTGAAATGCGATATTTTTTAAAATAAAAACGAATCGCCCGCATTACAAAACGCATTGTAAATAATAGGAGGACGTTCCTTTTCACGCTTCAATAATTGCTCGACAGCAGATAAACGAGAGAGTATCATGTTACCCAAGAGAACTGCACGGGTGTTCTGACCTAACTTCTATAACTCTTTTATACAACTTAATGTATAAGTACAAAGCCTTTTATATTCTTTTATACAATACTTATAAGTTAAAATAAAAACTTGAATATCATTTAGTTTGGTAGTTAGTGGTTCTGAACAGATTTATGGAGTGTTCTTATATCTTGTTATATATTTTTTATAGTTTTATTATGTACAGTTGTTGAAAGTTATTACATAGAATAATTCAAGAAGGAAGTTGTGGTGACTATAGTTACTACTCAATCGCTACAAAAGTTAAGCCGCTACAGCCGTAGACAATATTTTTTCTTCTAATCAATAGAATCAAAGAAGGTTCCGTCCATTGTCTCTGCTACAAAGAACGAGGTTCAATTACGGAGGTCATCAACACGACTTTTTATGGAATTTTCAGCTTTACGACTCATTTTGATGGTCCGCCTTCAAACGGAGTGATATTTTGTAAATAAACAAAGGACTGAAATAACTACCTCATTACCTTTGTAGAGCCGGTAGGTGCAGGAGACCTACTCAACTGTCTTTGTTGATAGTTTCAAAACTTATACTTACTTGTATATTTACTGGTTATGATAGAACGGATGCCGTGCGATATCCTAGCTTCGGTTAAAGTAAAATGAATTTGTTTGGTACATAAAATCCCAATTACATTTTTGGGTGCAAGCCAAATTTTTTGCAGTAGGCACGCAGATTATCTAATGTTTCTCCGTACTCGTACCTTTTAATTGTAACGTTAATATCCTTACTAATCAATACATAGTATAAAACAAAGTCGTTATCCGCGTCTGTCTGTCCCTATGTATGCTTAGATCTCTAAAACTACGCAACGGATTTTGATGCGGTTTTTTTAATAGATGGAGTGATTCTTAAGTAAGGTTTATATGCATAATACATGCATATTGCACCCGTGCGAAGCCAGGGCGGGTCGCTAGTAACTTAAGAATACAGAAGTGTTTGTAGGTTCTTGGTTGAGAAGCTGCATAGTGATTGGTTATTTTTTTTGCTCACAGTAGCCAAGTTGCATGGAACAGATAGGAATATAGTATCACAATTAAAATGATAGAATACCTATACACATACGCAGTGGAATAATACATCCAACGGTTAGTACTTAAATATTTATTTTAGTCTTTGTTACATGGCTCGCGGATGGCATAATGATATGTTTGTTTAAGCACATAGTCCATAGCCAGAATACAGCGTATGTAGAATACATTATTATCATGAATGCTGTACACTCCGACTGGCGATGTTCCAAGCACTGATTCTCATTGAAATATTAAACCAAGACACTGCAATGCAGTCTCAGACACGTATGTTGCCAAATTAATTACTCAAACTATTATCTCACGGATAAATAGATAATTAATTGCTTATCACTGAATATTAATAATTTAACAACTTAATTGAGTTGTTCAGTACATGCTCATGTAAGTATTAAATAAAGTATTTATTTAAATAATAATTACTAATTTGATTGATGTTTTAACGTTTTGTCCGTGGTTGTAAGCGGTTTATTATAAAATTGTTTCTAATTAATAAATCAATTTGAGAAAACACGAAGAAAACATAAAAATATGTAATTAAAAATACTTGATGATGTTATTTCGTGATTTGTGTTAGTTTATTATATTTAATTTCATATTGCTAACAACAGCAGCCAGTGTAATGCGATAAAAAGTTTTGCTTCGATTAGTTACTTGAAGGTGATCTTCGTAGATCATCGGCGTGTTGCGCAGGCGCCGCGCGGCGACGGAGCGGCGCGGGCGCAGCCACTGCTTCGATCCTCACGCCTCGTTGCACGCTTTATCGGCTATCCAAACAGACGTACACCCACACGAATGTAGCTTTACTTTCTAGATTTCCGTATATCGATTGTTAGTTTACTTCTACATTAAATTTAGCACAGGTTACCTAACCTACTTACCACTTCCTTTACATTTCTCATAATTCTATAAACAAGAACACTCCACGCAACAATAACTTGTGCGCTTATAATGAATACAACAATCAAACAAATAACATACATTCACAATTGAACGACAAATAAACTCAAGACGTTTGAGGAAACGCAATTTCCTTCGAGGCAGTAAAGCGACAAACTGTTCCACAATGGGAATATCATGGAGGCAATTTATTACGAATGATCAACAAGTAGCTGGGGAAGTTCGGGCCACAGACGGAAAGCAAAGAATGAATGCGAGTGCCTCCGAATTGAAACGAACACCGATAAAGGACCCTCCGAGTGTCGGCGGCTTGCACGCTCGGAACGCACGCCGCGCCGCCGCCGCTGTCGAAACACTCCAATCCTCCCGTACAATCCGAAAAAGCGAACGCACACAAATGACACGAGGGAATCCCTCCCGGCTAGACAGAATTATCTCGGCCTCTCTATTTCCGTTTCGCGTACTATTGAAATCGCTTCTCACTCGCACGCCATGAAATCGCATAGCGCCGTCCCTTTCGCATTCGGTTCATTCATGACTGTAGATTTGAATGGATTCGGAATGTGCGTTTTCTTCCCGTTATTCTCCAAATCGACGTCATTCAGGAAAGCGGGCGGGTGACATCGGGACGTGTTGCTAGAGCTCGCTACGCCTTTTTTCGTTCACGTATTGCGAGTAATTACGTCGATAAATGCATTAGATGTTTTGTGCTGCAGTTCTGCGGTTGAATGCAAATTCAAGCTGTATTTGTGGTCATCTATCGAAACAAGATTGATTCACAAAAAAGCGACAATGTAATAATGAGCGCGTATAATTAAAATTCGCTTCCGTGTTAGGTAGATATTGAATGGTTGATAGAAACTATCGCATGGCGTGTGGCGCAGTGTGCTGGTAGCCGTTGTAACGTCTTATAATTGCGGCTCACCATGTGTTGAGCTCTAATCATGTTTAATTATAGCAAGAAGAAGGAGTCATTGCCGTTTATCATGAGATGAACTGTTACAGACGTATAAACGCCGCGAGAAAATGATGGATTAAACGTTGCTCCAGTTACGAGTATGAAAGTACGGTGCTCATATTAATTAGTAAACGTTAGAATAGATTAGAACTATAAATAAGTTTTACATTTTTTGTTTTGCCTGTACTTGTTGATTTATAAACGGAAGCTTACGTTTTTATTGGGTAGATTATTATATGGTTTATACATAAAACAATGGGAAAGAGAAAAACTTTTAACGGTTTAACTGAATGGTGATTGTTCAGTTGGATTGTCAAAGTAGTTTCTAACTAGCCTCATAAAGAGTAGGAAATAGAGATTGAAATGCTCTATCAATTACAGAAATGTATGATAAAATCACCGTTTAAAATGCAGAGCAAATGAAGAAATGATATTTCTTACAACACCTATCTATTATAAATCATAGAATTGTCGACGTGAAGCGTCGATGTGAATAACGGGAGACTGTGGATTCAAACAGAGGTTTTCTTCTGACCGTACACACATAGGTACGTGGTTATTAATCCAATGCAGATTAGAGCTGAGACAATGGAGGCGGAAATGCAGCGGAGTGACGTTTTTGCAAGACTCGTTCAACCGCCATTGTGTGAATGAGACGCGCGTTCTAATTGCCCTCCAAATTATTAGTTGACACAAACCTGATTAATTTATTGACTAATTTAAATTATAGATGCACTTCAGTCATTTTAAGGTAAGAAAAATAAACTATAATGTAAAAATACATATACGTAATATATCGTGGGACCACGCAAGACCGATACAGCAATTGACAATAAAAAGCGTTCGTTTTAAAATCAATACATAAAACAGATAGTTCTTGCACACACTTTAACGGCAATATTTTTTTCTAATAAACAATTCTACGTTTTGTAATTGTTTCTATTAATTTGAATTGTAAAAGCGGTTAAGTGCTCGCTATCAACATGACAAAATAAAGTCATTACCTATTGAAGAGTGTTGGTGCAGAAACGTTGTAAGAAATACATTCGCACAATTAGTCCATTATGAACTGATACTACGTCGTGTACCGCGGTTTTGCTTATTTTTCTCATGATGCCGTATCAATTTACTTGCTTAGCTTGTGCACCTAATCGTGCTTTGTGCAAATTATTGGTTCGGTACACGAATGTGTTTGGTTGAGGGGGATTTTATCATTAAATGTGTCACAAACAATAAGCTTAAATGTATTTCATTAAATAAATCCGCTTTGAAGTGTATTCTAGCGAAGTAAAATTCCCGGCATCAAGTAAAAATGCCTGAAAAAGTTTTATCTACACTGCAAAACAAACATTTTGAGGATCGTGCGAAACTAAATATCTTTATTGCAGCCATAATAAATTTATAGTAAGGTGAGAAAGTATTAGAAACATAAAAGTAGGGATGTAAATTACAAGTAATAGTGTTCGTAAGTCCAACTTTACACAGACACATAGAAGAATTTATAACAAAGAAACAAAATGAGATAAGGGCTACTTAAGTCGGTCTGAGGCCCTCGTTAAACCTTGATATACGGTTTATAATAAAAGTTAATAAAACATTTGCAACAATTTAAAAGGGTTATCGATAAAAAACTTAGTAGACGAGCATCGAATGTGCGTTGGAGGTTGCCAGTTAAAAGATAGTAAACTGCGTTTTACAACCTAGCAGTTATTTATTTTTAATCAAATCACGCCTTAATAAATTTAACAATGTAACGCAAGTTCTGTACCTACGTGCAAAGTTAGCTCGAAGATATTCATTTCAAAACTTTGCCGCTCGTTTCTTACTGCTTCGGTTTATTTTCCTATGTGATGCCTATACCTAGTGAATTTGATGTTAGGTTTCACAGGTATATTATTATCATTACGTAGGTATCTCTCAGACCTACCATCTAGTGTTGTAAAAAGCATATATAAAAGAGTCCATCCATTTTGCTGAGATGATTATGACCAAAGCCTATATTCGTCTTGAAACTTGTAAGAATGTTTACATGCATCCGGATTAATATTAGTTCGGTACAATATAAAATCCCGAACTTAAATTCAAGTCTCCAAACCTTGACCGATATTCTGTAACTTAATATCTTTGGAGTTCAATAACGGTGAAGTTAGAAACTTCCACCCTAGAAGGAAGAATAATTCTTTGAGTGAATATTATCTTGCTATTACTTAGTCCTGAGTTTATGCACAATTTTAGGTGTGTTTAATGTGTCTCTGGTCAACATAGTAGGCTCGATAATAATCGCAACAGCCGCAGCAGGCCTCCGTGCTCCCTCCGATTAAAGTAATTTACAGCCAATATAAAACTATTCCATTTCGACGACGAACACATTTAATATAATTATCGTCACTGCACTTAAAATAACTTTGTTTCCAGTTTTACGACTGCGAAATTAATAATAGCTTTTATGTTTATACTTTTAGCTCATAACATAAGATCAGCGATAAAAACGTGTGTACTAAAAATTTAAAAAAAAGAGTAGTCACTGTATGCAATTATCGATTGTCGCGCGAGAGCCGAAAATCGATAGCGGTCCAGATGCACAAAAATGGGGCAGAGAAATCGATTTGCCCCACATTTTGGCGGTCTAGCGGCCGCCGGCGGCGAGGGTAACGTTCGCGATAAGGGATAGTGCCCCCCTCCGGAGGCGGGGGTATCCCCCTGTCCCCCTTGATAATATTTACCGCCCCCCGGCCATACTTACGCCCCTCAGTATTTACGGGTTAGAGAAAAACAAGGGTACTCGAGCTTCGGAAGGTGCAACGTAGATTTTAATCCTTTCTGATGTTTATGATTGATGGCGGATTTCGTGATCGGTGTTGCGCTCATGTTGATGGATTCTTTATGATTCCCCGTGGCTGGCGTGGCTGCCGGCTCCGACGCGCGCCAACACGTGATCGCGAATTACTTTTAATGATTACGTGATCGTAATTGTTGCTGTTTTCAAATGCATCTTCATTAGGGTGATGCATCAGTTTAGTGCAGCTGCTTACAGTGTTTTAGAAAAAATATTCAATTAAAATATCTCATGGTTATAATATAAAAACTAATTAAATTAATATTATATTATTTACTTTTATTTTCTTGAACATGTGTACCTATTAAACAATAAATTAATGTTAATCCTGTTGAATAAAGATTCAATGATAATTTACACAGGTTTTTATTGTATAAAATTGGTATTAATGTATTATTTTCTTCCGTGTGAAAGTTTTGGCCCACACAGCACGAAAAACTATTATTTATTACCATCAACTTGAAAACTAATAATTGCGTCGTACTGGCTTTTCAAACATATCTTCTAAACAATAGTTTAATAATATCATCCCAACTGATGTATCCATTTTAAATAGCCGCTAGCGCCACCTGTCAATCAATAATGAATTTCAATAGTCCTAAAAAACTTAATTAGACTGCTTTCAAAGACAGAGTAACATCAGCTAAGAAATGGAGAATGCAGCTGGAACTGTACCTTATGAACCTTATATGTATAGCTACAAGACTTGGTATTGAATAGTTTAAATTGTGTGATGTAAAAAAGTAATTTTGTTTTGATGTAATGTGGTGACGATGGGTAAAGATGTCCGTCAGTATTGACGCGTGCCGATAGCCCGGCCTGGCCGGTATGACCACGCCGCCAAGTCACGGCCAAAAGACTAATTATTTATTATTTTCGTTACTTTAATAGACAGATTAACGGTTTCGTAACAGAGTAATCGTCTTAGATTTAGTTATTAAGTCGTGTAGCACTTTATTTGTTAATAAATATGTCAATTAAACTATAAAAACATTAAACAGTAATTTGTTTGAAAATATACTAAAGTTTTACAGTTTCGTTTGGGTATATGCGAATCCCAAGTTATTAATCATTCAATAAAATATGGTAACTTAAGTAAACAAGAAATAATTTTAATTAATAAAGTCGTTTCCGTCCGCACATTTTTATAACCTGCACCGAAAGATAAGCCGATAGATACTTTACGATTTACTTTTAATTACCGGATCAGAATAAAAATCAAAACCTGAAGTTATTAAAGGTTGCAATGCTGTAATAAAGCTGACAATAATTTATGTGACTTTAAATATACGTCTGCGATATAATTTACAGCAATCACAATCTGATTGCTATTCGTGTTTTTAGTTGGAAAGTCTGATTCGGGTTCATTGTTTGTATTAGAGTCCGTTGTAACTTCCCTTGGTTTGAGAAACACAGTATTTCTAATATTGTAACTATATTCTGAATAATTACAACCCACACAAACCTAGTCCACTGAACCGAAGCGTATTAATTTATTTATAAATGCGTTTTTCGGTTAGTTACACGTTTGCGATGGAGGAAATTAAGTTTGGGGAATTGAAACTAGTCATTGTTCTTTTAATTGCGGTCAATTTGAGGCGTTCTAGACGAAATATGCCTATCATTGTGTGTCGAGGTGAGCCGTTACATCAAGGGCTTCATGCCTCTCGACGGAATATTGATTATATTAATTTGTTGTTAT